ATGCAAAATAAAAACTAAAAACTAGAAAATTAAAAATAGGTAAAAAAACTTTTTAAGTTAAACGGTTTTATGTTAAACATACATTGCAATGTTTAATATAAATGTACTAAAAACCAAAAAATAATAAAATAGATACAGTCGTGGGAATTATAAACATGCATAGACTAGACTAAAATAAAACCGTGGGGCACGTCAATTGTCTACAATCGTTGATTAAAATGTTTGTTTTGTAATGTTACACTATAATTAGGCAGTTGTTCAACCGACAACGATGGACGTGTGATAAGCAGGGCTAGAATGTGGAAATAAGCTAGCAAGCTCGATTTTAAGCGAGTTTTAGGGTTTCATAGTGGTGAGCGAGTAGTACTTTTATCATATGTTTTGTCGATTAAAGACAAACTACGAGCAGTGAAACGATTCCTCGCCAGCCAGCAGTGTGAATGTCCAACGATAAACTAGTTGAAACATCTCTTTTATTTACATGGAGTGTATAACTATTGGAATTTCCATGAGCAAGAAAATAGTAATTTCCTCACCGTCTGCGGGCCAACTGCCTAACGACGAATTAAACTATTCTTGTATCGCACATTAAGTCGATAATTTGTAGACAATTGACGTGCCCACGGTTTTATTTTAGTCTAGTCTATGCATATGTTTATAATTCCCACGACTGTATCTATTTTATTATTTTTTGGTTTTTAGTACATTTATCTTAAACATTGCAATGTATGTTTAACATAAAACCGTTTAACTTAAAAAGTTTTTTTACTTATTTTTTTTCATACAAAACACGCGGTGCGTATAGTCCTGTTGTCGAGCGTTCGCGGTACCGGCGCCGCACTGTTGCCGCACCGCGCGTTTTGTATGAAAAAAAAGGATCGTCCGTACACTGTACGACAAACACACCGCTTCGGCACCGCAGCAGGCCGTCAAGAAACGCATAAATTGAAAGAGCCCTTAATGATTCGTGTGCAAATTTCGCGGCTACTTGAAAATTGAATTATTGATTTAGTTTTTTTTCTGAACTACATAAAAGAATGATAAATATCCACTTTGAGAACGTTAGAACGTTTTCTAAAACTTGTCAAATACCCAGAAGGTCGCTCGTCTCCGCGCAGTCGACAGAGAATTATTCGCCATCAATAACATAACTAAGAAAAAATTGTTTCGATGTTGAAATATTGTATGTTTAAGGTACCTTATCTAAAAAAATCTTTATTAAAATATAAGTATAATATAGCAAAGTTACTATTTACTCAGTAAAGTCCTTATGATAAATAAAACATATCTGTTCTTTATTATGCTTATATTTTTAAGCATTTAACTGCGAGATGTTTAAATCTAACGAAAAATAAACTAGAAAGGATTTTTACTAGTAACATTTTCTTTATTTAAATTCTTGTTAATTCTAATATTTTTCATATACACAATACAATACACCATATTTACCTTGTTTTTTTAAAACTATTTATTATTTCATAATATGAACTGAAAACAAATACGCTGCGAGTTTTTCGCAAGCCCTGTACTTGAGCATTGATTCTGACGTGTGACTGCGTATGCGACAGGCAGCCAGTACTCGTCTTGCTTATAATAGTGAAACAATCGCAGCGCGGTTGTATGAAGCTTTGTCTCTGTGTCTTTTTAGTCAAGTGCATTCGGATTAGTATTGTGTGTAACGAACCGTGTGAATTATATGGGTGAATAAAGAACTGTCAAGCGTGAACTGGCGTTATTACTTCGGACCCCATCCCGATACGTAACAATACTAAAATCATTTTCTACATTAATATCAGTAAGACTAGTCTCTTTGATAAACCTTAAGTAATTCAATACGAATATAAGGACACAGCGAAATTCGTTTCAGTAGAATAAAAATAAAATACATTTATACGTTTGAAGTGCGTTATTCAATTACGGCGAACGGCATTAAGCTGTACGGGATAATCGGAAAGAATTTGCAGTTTTTAATCGAATTGTAAGCGGATTACCTACGAGCAGCATTGAAATTGACGACTATTAGGTGTAAAAATAATATTATTTTCTCCCAGAACGAAACACAGACGGCTCCAGCTGCTTAGTTTTTCAGTTAATAACATGAGAAATTGAACAGATATCAGCCAACAGCATTGGCTAATATCTGTTTCAGTGCTGGTTTTACGGTTGCTTCGAAGTGACAACGACACTCGCAGTTCGTAGAAATAGACCGTGCAAGATTGTAGGGCATTCGCGTGTGAAACAGTTGCCAAGATCCCAGTCACCCCAGGCTTACGTGACTTTATATAAGATTAAATTTCTAGGAGCAGATTAGTATAGTATAATATAAAGTGAGAAAGGAATGGATACTCGCTAAACTGAATCCGCCGTTCATACTTTTTAGTAGTTTTAGTTTTTCAAAGTCGGCTTTTATTTTTGTTGAAAACAGTTTTTAAGGCACTAGAATATTAAAGACTTTCTTTTATATATTTTTCTTCTAAAGACAAGTTTTTAGACGTTTCTACGTTAAAATTACAAGCCTGCGTACAAATTCCTCGACTTATCTCCCTTTTGAAGCGCACTCCAGTGCGAATCCTTCTAACTCCGAAACGTCGAGTGTTGCCAAAGTTAATTTTTCCGGCTTCTTCAAATTTCACTTCTCGTGTTCGTATTAACAAAACGGGAATTTCACCTTTGAGTTTGGGGAAAATACAGCCTATCTTAGTATAAAATGGTAATTGCAATTGAACTTCGAGCGGTGGGTATATATTTGTAAAAAAATGGTCTTTACAGCATGAAATCAAAAAGAAAACGTTAGAAAAAACCTTATTTTAGGCAATATTTTTTTAAATAAGAAAACATAAAAGGCCTTATAGTGAGAACCAACCAAGATGCTTTCGCAATTACACAGCAGCGCTGATATTGAGACAGCGTCTTAAAAAAATACTTAAGTACAGTTGGTATAAAATATTACCAATATAATCCCTACATTTGAAGTTTCCAGAAGAAGTCATTTTTGAGTTCATCGCAACACTACAAACAGACAGTAGCGGCGGGGTACTATGTTTTTATAAAAAAAATAAAAAAAAAATATGTAAGTACTATGTTTATAAACATATTGTATACAGAACCACAATTTTGATCACTACACAACAATGTAGAACACTACTCTATTATTATCTGTCTGCAATCACTGTAATTTGTTTTTATTGTCCTCTGTAAAGTGGAGGTTACTGCTACAAGTTCTACAGATCCTCAAATTTGAGCTGAAAATAGTATATGATATTTTTTTAAACGGTATATTAAACAGTCAAAGGCAATTTATATTTCATACCCATTAATCCACACTGGTCCTGCGAGATAGACCATAATCCAAACTATTAAACAAAATCCACAGCCACTACTGCCAAGGGTCAGCCACATAGCTGCTCATCCAGCCACCCACCCAGCTGCATAGCAAGGTGCTTCGCAAGGTTGTGAATCAATTTTGGAACTTTGTTCCAATAGAATGAAAAATTAACATACATGAAATTCCATAGCATGCAATACAAGATTTTAATATGAACACTATGAAAATAATCATGTTACTCAAATTTAATTCTGCTTGTTAGCCGGGGGTAAATGGTGTTCATTTTAATAATTTGTATCAATATTGTAAATTCAGTGACATATAAATTGATTTATATTATGTCACTGAATTTACAGTGTTATATAATTTTGACTGAAGATAGATTTTTCCCAATATTTTTTACGTTGCAATGGTTGCATGTGAAACAGCGAAGTGATATCGTTCAACAACATCGGGATCCTTTTGAAAACGAAAATAAACTACATTAGATTCTAGTTTAGACAAACATTTAAAATATAAGATACATAGAAGTGTTAAAAGTTGTCTCATGACACGACAGCAACACTGACGAAGTAACAAATGAAGTACGTTATTTTTTTTCGTATTGGGAGCTAATGAATATAAATAATATGAGCGTAATGAGATACTGAGAACTGGTGTAGGTTACTCGGGGTACTAACTCTTGATTCGTTTAACAAACTTCTCTCCCCAGACCCTTGTTAGTAGGCCGAAGCCAAGCGGCGGGGCGTTTGTTAGTGTTTTGTTTATCTGTCATAAATATACCCCACTATTATAACTTTGTTAATAACTGTAGATATACACGTCGAAAGTGATGGGCGATCCGGTACGTTGTAATTAGGATTCTATGCGTAGGATACGTTGTAATATCTATTTGTTAAGTTTTTTATGACTATTGATTTTATTAAAATTTGGAAAAGGCAATTATTATGGCCGCACTCAAGGACTTATACGGAGTAGTATTCTTTTAACAGCTACAAAGCTTTTGAATACGGTTCCAGCAATGATTTCAATAAGAACGTTGTTTGATGTTTTATATCTTTAAAGATGTGAAAATCTAATTCTTTTTAGAAAATTAACTTTAAAAAAATATAGTATTCATTTGTTATTTTTTTACGCATTCCAATTATTTAATAAAACACTTTACAGGACAACAATTTACAGTACTCTGAGTCTTGAGACCACCCAACAAACAGTACTAAGTTACTCAAGAGCGATATAGCGTATATAAATATAGTCAGAAGTTGTAAGAGCTCCGTGCACGGAGCTTGAAATGAATCCGAAACGTCAAGAGCAATTCTGGAACTTAACTTGGTTATTCGTGTTTTCTATTTGTAAACTTGACATCAGTCTGTCCTTTCATTCTTTATAAAGCATTCTAAGGACAGGCTGTTGTCAAGTTTAAAGATACGAATATCCATGTGAAGTGCCGTCAAAGGTAACAATTAAAGAAGTTACGCTTTATACCCGTTCAAAAAGTGTTTTGTTAAGCTCTTACTGCCTTATTCCAGAAAGTGGACTAAACATAATATTATATTTGTCTTCTTTTTAGAAAGCAAAAGTGACAGCATCAATTTTAGCCCAGGTTTAACTTTAGTCTACGTTTTGCAATGAGGCGATTATAAGTCTTCACTTGTTTTGTATATTGAGCACGCACCTCGATTGATCGGTCGTCGTACGTCGTCTGCAACTCCGGCCCGACCATTTCCAATATTTGGCGCCTTTCTTCGAGAAAATCTGTAAAAAACACAAACATTTGTAATAACAATAAAATATGGCAAACAACCTCGCACGTATCTATTTAAACTTTGTATTGTAAACACTGTCTTTATACCAGACTATAACATTTATGTTTTTATTTTGTAAGCATTTAACTGCTACATGTTTAAATCTAAAGAAAACCTTGCAGCCTAAGGCTAGAGAAAATTCGACACGCCGTCAGGGCCGCGGTAGCATAATTGACGACCTCCGTGGCCGAGTGGTTTGTACGCCGGGTTTCATGGTGTCGCCGACTCCAGAGGTCCCGGGTTCGAATCCCGGTGGGGGCAGATGTTTGTGTGATGAATATGTATTTCTATATAAATATACTTATATATGTACAGTATATGTATTCTATCCAATACCCTAGTATCCCAAAACACAAGCCTTACAGTGCTTACTTTGGGGCTAGGCTAATTGGTGTGAGTGTTGGAAATATTTATTATTATTTATTTATTATAATGGTCAGTCCATTCGCCCGGATAGCGAAGGGTGTGGGTTCGAGTCCCGGCTGCTGCCTGGTCCGCGTGAATTTTTTTCTAGTATACTTTTTTTAGATTTAGACTATAATATTGCTTAGGGTTTAAACAACCATTTACCAAGAAACTGATGTTACGCTCATTGCGAAATCTTTCTCTAATCAGAGTACCGCTACTTTTTGTTTTCCATACATACTTTCACCCCCTTTTCTCCCTCTTATAGGATGATTTCTGGGATAAAAAATATTCGATGTCCTTTCCAATATATCACGTGACTGATCCCTTCACCAACTCCAGAAAATCTAATTAATCGGCCGATTATTATTTGTTGACTAGTCTGAGTGCGCACTCACGTATAATCCAACTGTTTTGTTGAATCAGTATGCATACTAGAATCCCAACTCAACTAAAGGCGTAATCATACTTGATCTTTAGCCCGTAATCGGTGCATGAACACGACAGTAAACGATTTCGGGCACCCGAAGCAATAATTATATTATTTTACTTACATTCGGGCACTGGAACACGGGCAAACGACCCTGCACCCTCCTTCGTTTGTCCGAATCCCACAGGCAATCGTATACGAGCTATCGACCAAGTTTAATTTTGTCATAAACTATTAGCTGATAGAAAGTCTGCGGGGACTCTCAATCTAAATGATGACGTGTGTGACAGAAACGCTCTGTCAACTCTTTTATTTTTTTATTTTTTTTATTTTTTGATTATGTCAGTTGCCTTGTCTGTTTACAGGTCTTTTTGGGTATAAGCTCGTGTCGTATTTTATTTTATTTTAACAAGTTCTAGTCTTTATTCTATTTTATATCTTCCATTCCCTCTAGGTAGTTATTAGAAAAACATAATATCGTGTTTGTTTGTTTAAGCTCGTTTCATTTCAAGGTGGCTATGTTTCCTTATCGTCACATTAGCAGTAAACTTTTTATCTCTCTTCTATCGAATGAAGGCTTCTCGGTTTACAGCTGCACTAAATCAGATTTCATTTAATAATAAACAAGGTTATTGCAAGTTGTAGAAGATTACAATCTCCATTCCCAGGTGGTTTGATAACCATGGATGCCTACTTACGACATCTTGGAGGTTCAGTTAATGATTAGGTTAATGTATGACTGGTCATTAGAGATGAGCCGACTAGTCGGGAAATACTAATATTCCGCATTGTTTGTAGTCGGCGACTATTCGGCAAAACATGCCAATTATAATCGGTACATAATAAATGAAATAAAGTAACAATTCCTGTTTGTTTATTAATCTCTAAACAGTACTCTATACAATATAAGCTTATGTTATCAGATTGGTTGATTGTACATACTTTAGTATGTACAATTAGCCAATTTGATTTCTGAGCTACCATAAGCTTTTTTGTTACAACCATTACCATTCCCTAAAGGAACAGCGAAACGAAATGAGACTACATAATTCAGGAGATGCAAGTCAGTACCGGTGGCTAAATAGACAGTCCTTGACGAGCGATCTTCGCCGATTTAATACGTATTGTATTAAAGAAACAAAGGCTCCAAAATGTTCGCGAGAGATCTGTGTATTAAACCGATTATTTTTTTTGATATTGTGTCCGGTTTTCGAGACAATTAAATTTATATCGATGTAAAGAAAAAAATCTCCATCGCACTGCCGCAGTCGGTCAATATTTTATTATGCCATCCTGGCTTTTTTGGGAAATTTTGTAATGAGACATTGACATCACATTAGAAAATATCAAGATGGAGTTGTAAAATTTTTAACGAATATGATGATATAGTTTAATTTTTTAAGGTGAATAATGAGTTACTTACTTATGGTGACTTTGTGAGTTTTTTTACGTTCTTTATAATATTGGCAAACTTTTATCGCCGAGAGCATTTCAAAGCAATAATTTCAACACGAAACTCTGTAGTTGACGTGCGTATTGCTCAGAGTTGCATTGAACACTAAGTGACGGGAAACGACTTATAGTCCAGAGTTTGGCTGATATTTTATTCAACGTCATCTACATTGCCACGCTCTATCTAAAGAGTAAATAATTAAAGCTATGAACAAAGAGTTACACTTTGAAATCTCTTGTCTGTAGTGTTACTATGTTGCAGTTGAGCATGTGGCGGGCGTCGCGTAGCTTCGTGCTCAAACTTCAAGAACTTAGTTGAAATTTTGCGGGCATTGCGGGCTTTGCCTGTTTACTTGCACTCACGTCATAAGTTTTCTTGCGGACAATTTAGTTAGAGTTATATCGTTACGGTGTTAACGTATTGCTTTTACAATATAAGTTGTCGTGATTCAGTCCGAAAGGCGTATCTTTTATAGTGCCTGTTTGTATGTTTTTAAAATAATATCGAAGTAAAGATCGATATACGATTGTTAATGACATGTTTTACAATCATTGAATATTATTTGTAGCCTAAAGTTTAAAGAGTTTGATACGGCATCCAATATTTTTTCATAAATTATTATAATTATAAATTACTAGTGGCCGCCCGCGACTTAGCCGGCGTTAACTTTAGTTTTTTCTAAATTCCCTTTGGAACCTAACACTACTTCGGGATAAAAAGTATCCTTTGTCTCAATCCAGGTCATAAGGTATATACGTACTACAAATCTCATCCAAATTCGTTCAGTGGTTTTTGCGAGATTTTTTTTTTTTTTTTTTTTTTTATTTGGCTTACAAAACTGGTTACAAAGAATATCCATATAAATATATGCATACAAAAAAAATACATCAACTACTTTGCAACCTACTAGATGCAAGCACAACATGCATTTCTAAAACTACCTAACTACTAAGGATATATACTAAAGGATAAATATAGTACATATAGGTTAAACTCTAACTAAAAAAATTAAGTGAAAGTTAAAACTAAAAACCTAATCAGAGAATATAGAATTCAAACATTTTCTGGTTGAGGCCATAGAACCTTTAAATATGTCGAAATCATTTCGAATAGCATTATAGGTTGACAACATTCTATAAAGAGGAGAGTGATTCCCGAGTCTTGTCTTACAGGGGGGCAGTATAAGTCTTTCGATTTTGCAGCCGGCTATTAATTCTAGGAACTGAAAATTTTATATGCTCTAAAATATCTGGTGAGTCGATGTGACCATGGATTAATTTAAATAAAAACATTATATCCGAAACCTTCCTACGCCTGTGTAAGAGGGCTAACCCATAATGTGTTGTGCGAGTCTGATAAGAGCGAAGTTTTTTACAAATGCCATCTGAAAAAGCTAGGTGGTATAAAAATCTTTTTTGGACAAGTTCAACTCGGGTAGAATGTATCTGGTACCCCGGATTCCAAACAGGACTAGCGTATTCCAAAATGCTGCGCACTATACTGTTGTAAATAAGAATGGTGAGTTGGGGTTCCTTCAGAATTTTCATTTGACGAGTAATAAAACCAGTTAGTTTGGATGATTTTTTAACAACTGAGTCTATATGAAACCTGAAGCTAAGTGAACTGTCCATATTAACTCCTAGATCTCTAATTTGAGTAACCTCTTTAATGAGGACGCCCTGGATGAAGTATGCTGCACTGGTAGCGTTTATCTTTCTGCTAAATTTTATGTGAAAGCATTTACTGATATTAAGTTCCATACCATTGCGTCCACACCATTCTACTACGTTATTTATGTCTGACTGAAGGATATTTATATCGTTTGATGTGTTAACAGCTCTGTATACTTTTAGATCGTCGGCATATAGTTTGAATTGGGAACTTATTACTCCAGCAATATCATTGATAAATATTAGAAAGAATAAGGGTCCCAAGTGAGACCCTTGAGGTACACCTGATGGTATGGTCCTAGCTCTAGATTTATATCCGTGTATAGCAACCAACTGAGATCGATTTCTCAGGTACGACTCGCACCATCTCAAGAGTGATCCGTGCACACCCATGTATTCTAGCTTTTGAAGTAAGAGGTCATGATTCACAAGGTCAAAAGCCTTTCTAAAATCTGTGTACACAGCATGAGATTGAGTAACAGACATAAAAAAACTCACATTTATAATATTAGTAGGATAAAACTAATTATGTAATTTTTTCACGTTATTTTTCCTTCATTAATATCAAACGTAACATCAAATCAATGGCCATAGAAATGACGGACAAAACAAATTATAGGAATCATATTTTATGTCCACCCTAATCTTCGTCAATTACAATTACTTTTGTCAGAACAAATAATAACAATCATATTTCGTGAGTCGACTTTGATATTTATATAATAACGATTGGTATTTACTTTGTAATATAATAGATGTTTTAGTAAAATTTGTTAGAAATAGTTGTTGTGAAGATTCTGCAAGATAGAGATTACCCCGTATCTGGCAGATTCTTGTTGCTCCGAAATTTATTTGGCATAAATAATTTCGTTAACGTAACGCTTGGCGAAATTATTTATGCCAAGTTCCCTTTATCTGGCAGAATATTTTGTGGTCAATGATGGTTGGATTAGTGAGACCTAAATTTAGCGCCAGCAGAGCGAGCGAAGTGC